TATTGAATGTTTGGGGTGCTGGGGGGACTGCATTCTAGGCAGGGCCTTCCACTGAAGGAGTGCTTATAAGTGTCTGAGTTGCTCATATGTCATTGGATTTAAGATGCCATTAATTGTGAGGACACGTCATAATTTTACATACTGCTGAGAAAGAAAACACGCTGCTAAATAACTGTACCACCAACTTCAGAGATATTAAAATGTTGAAAATATATGTATTTGAATCAGTGAAATAAGGTAGCTAATCAGCAATACCAGGCTCAGGCTGTAGCATGAGAGTTGCCACAAAGCCAAATTGTTAAGGGCCAGTGAGTGGGGTAACCAATAGGCATGATAAGGCCACAGGGATGGATTTCTCAGGAAAGGGTCCTGTGGCCTTTGGCGGTATTTTCCCAGAGTCTGGGACACATACATTGAGGTAGTTTGGTGTGTGCCGGTATAAAACTCATTGTTACATATTGAGAAGGTTATTTACTTTTCAATTCTCTTTCAAACTGATGATACATCAAGAGAAAGACTTGGTTTGCTCCTAGTATGTCCTTAACACCTGCCTGATTCTTGCTAATCTCTCTTTTTTGTTAACAGAGAGAACAGGGGTCCAGGTCAGAATCTGCAGCAGGCAAGGTTCATCTATGCTAACAATTGGTTTGTTTTAAAGCGTATGCTTATTTCTGTGACTGCACCTCTAGTGTAGCCTCTTCATTTGAGGCCCCAGAATACATCTGGCTTTTCAAATAGAGCAAACCTTTAGTTGAAATGTTACTTCCATCCTGTGTTTGGTGTGGACACCTGCCAGGGTTAGCCTTCCACACCTTTTGTTCTGGTCATAGTTTTTTAGAAATCCTTTGAAATACTGTATAGAAAAACTTATCTGTACAAGATAGACAGCTGAGTGAGACTGTTAATCTGTCAAAGGGTGAAATTCATTTTAAGAGTGTTAATTTTTGCCCAAGGTACAAAGGTAATTTAATGGAGAAAGGATAGTATTTTCAACAAGCAGTGTTGGAACAATTGGACATCCATATGCAAAAAAATAACTCATTGACATAAACCTCCTTTATACAGAAATTAACTCAAAATGGATCACAGGTCTAAATGTAAAACTATTTAGTAGAAAACATAGGAGAAGATCTCTGTGACTCGCAACTGGGCAAAGAGTTCGGAGACATGGCACCAAAAGCATGAACGATGAAAGAAGAAAAGTGATAAAATGAACTTCATCAAAACTAAAAGCTCCTGCTCTGCAAAAGACATTGTTAAGTGAATGAAATGACAAGCTACATACGGGAGATAATATTTGCCAATCACATATCCAACCAAGGACTTTTATCCAAAGTATATAAAGAACTCTCAAAACTCAACAGTTAAGAAAACAAACAGCCCAGTTTAAAAATGGACATAAGATTTAGCAAATAAGTACATGAAAGCATGCTCCACATTGTCATTAGCCATTAGGAAAGTGCAAATTAAAGCCACAATGAGATACCACATACCTCTTAACAGTGTCTGAATTAAATAAAACAAAAGAAGACCGTGTGGTGGTGAGGATGTGGAGCAGCTGGAATTCTTTTTTTTCTTTTTTTAAAATATATCTTTATTGATTTCAGAGAGAGGAAAAGAGAGAGAAAGAAACATCAATGATGAGAGAGTCATTGATCAAGCCCGCAACTGGGCATGTACCCTGACTGGGAATCCAACCCTGGTCGCCTGGATCCTAGGGCGATGCTCAACCACTGAGCCACGCCCGGCCAGGCTGGAATTCTTGCATTACTGGTGGGAATGCAATTGGTACACCACTCAAAACAGTTTGGAAGTTTCTGATAAAGTGAAGCAGCAGTCTCCTCCATATACCCTAGAGAAATGAAAAACTGCTCACACAAAAACCTGCCCATGAATCTTGATAGCGGCTCTCTTCATAATTGCTAAAAACTGGAAACAGCCCAGGTGTCCATGAGTGGATTAAGTATGCTACCCTGATCTGATGGAATACTGCTCTGCAATAAAAATGGATAAACTGTTCATGCAGGTGACACCTTGGATGAATCTCAAAGGCATAAAGCTGCGTGGAAGAAGCCAGTCTCAAAAGGTTATGTACTTAAAGACCTAGAGCAGGGGTGGGGAACGTCCAGCCTGCGAGCTGTATACGGCCTGTGAAATCATTTGCCCTGGCCCTGCCAAGGTCTCACCAAAGAGAAGCAGTTCCAGCCACCACATTAGGGGTGAGTTAATTAAATGTTTGACCAAATATAGCAGGCTAATTTTTAAGTTGGTAATTTTATATGGCCCACGAATGACGTTATGTTATAAATATTCAGATGGCCCTTGGCAGAAAAACGGTTTCCCACTTCTGACCTAGAGAATAAGTAGTTGTCGGGTTGGGGTGGGAGGAGGGGGGAGATGGGGAGTTAGTGTTTAGTGCGTATAGAGTTTCAGTTTGGGATGAGGGAAAAACTTATGGGGATGGGTGGTGGTGATGGTTGCACAGCATGTGAATGTATTTAATGCCACAGAACTGTACACTTAAAATGGTAAATTTTATGTTATGTGTGTTTTATCCCAATAAAAAGAAAAAGGTTATGTGCTGCTTAATTCATTTATTCCATTCTTGTAAACACAGTGTAGTAACGGAGCAAAGGTCAGTGGTTGCTGAAGGTCTGGGGAGGACGTGACTACAAAGGAGCAAAACCAGGGAGAGTTTGGGATGATGCTGTTCTGTATCTTGATTGCGGTGGTAGTTACACAAATCTCTACACATGCTAAAATTCATAGACCTGCACACCTAAAAATGTCCACTTTATTATATGTTAGTTTAAAAATAAAAGCAAACTCCCACAACCCTACAGAAGTCGCTCCAGGGTGCAGAGCACAGAATTGAAGTGCTGGAATAAATGCAGCATTAAAGCAATTAAAATGAGGGAAAAAGAGAAAGCCATAAAGTCATTCCCCATCAATATGTAAAACAGAAGGTGAAATTTGCGACAAAAGCCAAGCACTGGCTTTTTAAACATCTGATTGCAAAAGCCTATTGAAGTAGTTCCCACATCCTTTGAAGGTTTACTGCTAACTTGTAAATGTGCAGTGCTTGTGCTTATTTAAATTTTCAGTGAAGCTTTCAATCCAGCTTTTATTCTCCTTGCAGTTGAACTTGGATCCTCCCATTTGTTTTTGTCAGCTCCAGTTCAACACTGTGGTCCTGGGAATGCCCTTAGGAACCAGGCACGGTTCTGGGGGGGGAGGGGG